GGCTATTCACTAAAACTTTTATGCGCCTGTGTGTGAGAAACACGCATACCTGGAAGCTGAATTTGAAATTTTTAAGTTACACGTGGGCGAGGAACACCTCTTTAAAATTTCACTATACAGCTTTTCCGGTTCACGAGTTAGCAATTTCCTGCCAAAACTTTCGCGCACTCATACGCGAGGCTCAGGCATGCGTGAAAGTTGATACCGCGTTCTTCGGGTGGCGCATGGCCAGAGAACACACTGACAAAAATTTCAGCGTCAGAGCTTGCTTGGTTACCTAGTTAAAAGACCCCTACAGACACATGCACATAAAAACACACACATAAACATACACATATGCGCATAAACATGCACACACACCACGGAGTCGTCACGATGTTCATTTTTTGCACTTGCGTATATGGAAAAAACGCGTGAAAACGAATCCGCTAATTGCATTTCAGACGCAAACTTTTGGACCCGTCAAGAGAAGGCATATTGTTGCTGCGGCCGTGAGAGCTCCAGCTCATTTCGAACTCAAAGAAGCTACAATGGCGGTGAGCCAGCAGCTAGCAAGCGTTCTGATGTGTGCGCCCACGCACTTCGCCATTGAAGTAAGCTGCTACGGGATGAAGCAAGCCCTGGCTACTTCCAAACTAAAGCACTTCTCAGTGCTTTCCGAAACTTCATTCTCCATCTCTTTGTATGCCCTTTATGACTTTAAGCCATTTTTTGCTCTCTTCGTCGAATTATTAACACAGCTGCTACGTAGATGCTAAAAATGACCCACCAAACCCTATAGACGGCTTGTGGACAACGACCGGTCAAAATAAGCATGCTCTGAGCGTACACAAGTCATCTGTCCTGTTTAACAAGACAATGAATTTTGTATCCAGTCTTTCACAGCAGTACACTGCAACCAGTTTCAGGCCAGCATCCTGCGCTCTGGGCATGCTCATTCAACCTGGTCATTGTCCACGCCACGTCCAGAACGGCTGAGCGGTCGTTCGGCATTTACTTTATGTTCATACTTCTGAGAAGACAACCAAAAATGATTTGACGGGTTTTTGACAAAGGCACGACAAAGCTTATCACTGATTGCTGATTATTCCAGTACAGAATAAATCCCTGGATGGCTGGCGATGTACAGCGTGATAAGGCCCATCAACAATGGAATTCACTGAAGGACGCAGTTATCGCCCAAGGAGTCCAGGAAAGCTTCTTTATAATTTCAACATTCAACAAACAAATTTTACAGTATTAGGCAATAATTAAATAAAAAATGAGAGGCAAAAATGATCTAATTTTTGCTTACTACTGGACATTACCAAGAATACTAAGACTGCTGAACATTATGATTTAAACGTGTTGATTTAGGTGTACACGATAGATCCAGTAAAAGGCCTTCCAGACATGGTTTTCGTGTGTAATGCCGGCCTAGCCTACGACAACAAAATCTACTTGTCACGATTCCGCCACAAGGTCTTTCAAGTTCACGTATTGTTGCCGAGGTAGATAACTGACCAGAATGATGATCTTTTCACTGAAATAACGTACGTTTCCTGAATCCTCCACGAATTCTTCAGATTATCCAGTCTTTCAAAGCTGCTGGTAAATTTGCCAGCTGTAACAACTGAAAAGTATACCATGAACTGCATCCGCATGCATTCCCTTTCGCTCTTATGCTTGTAATAAGCAGTATTTACATATTTAGCATCACGAAAACATTCCTTTCACTTTCTGGACGAAGCATTCATGTATTCGTCATTGCTTCACCCATGAAATCCCCTCACCAAGCCCGATAATGATCTTGAAAGCTCGACAAAACGGTATATGGCGTAAATCGCTTTGGCATGGATGCATCCTTGGTTTCTCAATATTTGTGTGAG